TGCCTGCACAGGAGTTTGCGATTCGTGCAGAATCGCTTCATTAACTTCTGCTGATGAGTGACCTTGTCTTCGCGGATCAGTTTCACACAGAAGTTACGATGGGTCACGTATGCAGTCCAGGTTTCGGCATTCGGACAGTCCTGGTGATCTCGCCATGCCAAATCCCTCCGGGACAAACATTTACGTGTCCTGCTCCTCAGGAATTAGGTGCGCTTATTTTTAGGTTGGAAGCACTTCTGCTCTGATGCGTGCGCTACTAGTGTACTAAAAGTCCTTGTAAATGTTTCCCAGGCAACATCTGGGGGGCATTCGGTTAAGAAAGTGCAAGATGTATCCTTAACAAGCTTAGACAACACATTGTAGTGTGTGACAGTATGCACTTTATCCTCCTCCTTTTCAGGGTACTCCGCATAGCAAATATAGTCAAAGAGTAGAGTAACATGATCACTACGACCCAATGGTGTGCTTGTAACTATCCCGCTAACCATGAGTTCTTCGTTAGTGAGCACAAGATCCAGTATCGATGCCGATCTTACTGTCGGCTATCTCGGTCCAACTGCCACGGGTAATAAATAGGTAAATAGTACATGACGGTTTCTGACGGAATCTGTATAGCTCCGGTGCTATGATGTTAGACTTTTCGAAGTAGCCCATTACAGCCTCAGCTGGGGTCGACTCCATCACCTTTGAGAACAATGGGAGGAGAATCACTGGGCGATAGTTAGAGGGATCTGAACGGTTATCACGCTTGAAATCGGGGTACTGATGACTTGCTTCAACCTGTAATGGACGTGATGTTCGTCCAGGGATTTTTGCAATAGTCTCGTTAATGTTACAGCTATCCTCGTGACTACCACATACAGTGCTTTCGGAGGAATGTTGTCAATTCCGGAGAACTATAGGTGAGCAACGAGAGCAGCTTCCTCAAAATGGTCGCCGAACTAAAGGTGACGTGTGTACATACTGGCGTCTGGGAGATTGGGACGGGTATGTTACACTTGCTGGTAGCACGTCGGAAAATTGGAGCAGATTGTAGCCGTGGAACGTTAGCTGCATCCACGGCGGTTTGAGCACAAGTCTCATTCCGGAGGCTGTTCACATTTTTCTCCTGAAGCTTTTTGTTAGCACCAAACTTTTCCACTAGACTCTTGGTATACTAATTTATCCTCACGCACAAGCGTGGTACGGTGATTGCGATGTACAACATAGTTACCCCAGTTGTCAGGGCTAGGGTTCGCTCTATACACATGCCACGCTGTATCTCTTACTGTCTTGTTTTCGGATTATGCTCCGAGTGAATGACTGTGCTCTTGTGGAACGAAGGGGCTTGTTGACCGATGCAGGTGTAATCAGATCACTGAACTTGCCAGTAAGCTCCATCCACTCACTGTTAATGGAACGGTCGTCCGAAAACTCCCAGGTTGGTTCTCCCACAAATTTTGCCAGTATGTCTTATTGTGTGATTGTTCGAGATTACTTACTATGGAAAAGTATTGCGCAGTCTGTGTGTCGCTCACAAAGTTTTCCTCTCCAGTACGTGCCTTCGTCATCACAGGTGACAGTATGCCACCCGACGTCCTCCATCATCTGCCCATCGTTGGTCGCAAATTGAGCACCTCGCCATAAGTCGAAGGTGACGTGGACGCGTACGCGGTTGCTGATCGTACTGGTCAACTTGTGGGGATACCGGTCATACAGTGGTGTGCGCGACAGTTTGAATGCGTTTCGGTGGCTCCCCAAGGGTCAAATCAACCAGACTGAACGGTTGTAAATTGGAAGGTCCTGCAATACAAATAGAGATCAACAGAGGCTTCTTGAAAATCTTCCACCTACTCTTCTCTAAGTACTGACCGGCACTTGTTAGGATTGCAATATGCTGTGATGTCCGCAGCTTTGTCCAGCTGCGGCCTTGTCAGCTGCACAGATAAAAGCTGCATCTCGACAACTTCCTCGGATGTTTAGTTTGTTGACATGCCGTGCTCGTTGGCACGGAAGGTAACGAAATCCGTCGATCAAATTTTCTTTAACTGAAGGCAAACCTTCGCTCTGACCATGGATCCTGGAAGTCTATACGTGCTGTTGAGATGGAGGCCACTGCATCGATTTGGAACTGCTGCAGTTTGTTTCGCCTCAGCAAGTCACCCGGTTACAATTCGTACGTCGTCAGTCGGACAATCAGTGAGCTAGATGGCATACAATTCACCAACCTACAGAAGCGATTGGAGCGCTGGGCAAAATAATGTTCTCTACTTTTACTAGCACATCTCTCTGTGACCCCCCCCCCCATCTTTATCGGATGGTGTTTGGCCTGTCACACTGACCCTCTAAACAAAGTAGAGATCCGTAGCACAATCCGGTCTTGGAAGGGGGATAAAGCTTCGGGCACTAACAGCCTTCATCCGGCTTTTTTAAAAGATGGCTAGGATGTACTTGTCAACGAATGGCTCTCACTTTTCACAAACGTTTGGACTAATGAGAAAGTCCCCAACTCATGAGCAGAATCTATCATTGTCTCGATTTCCAACAAAGGTCCGCTCGAACATTGCACTAATTGCTGCGGAATCTCGCCGATCTCTGTTGCTTCCAAGGTTCTTGTGTCCCTCTTACTTCGCAGAAGTTCTCACACCAGAGTGAGTTTTTACCGAGAAATACAAGCCGGTTTTCGCCGCGGCCGAAATTACATTGGTCAAATCTTCACGCCCCGAGAAAATCTCGAGCTCTGCCACGGCCACCGTCGACTAACAATCGTAAGGTTCCTGGACATCCTCACGGCATTCGATTCAGTAGACAGAACAGCTTTGTGGAATTGTCTACTTAGGAAGGGTGTGCCCGAAAAGTTTGTCGCCACTCTGAAGGAACTGTACATTTACATGTTGGACAAAACTATGGCTTACGGCAGACTTTCTTCTTCCTTTGCTGCCACCAGCGGCGTTCTCTAAGATAGCCATGTTTCACTTTTCCTCTTCAATTTTGCCATGGAAAAAAATGTGCAATGAGCGCTAGAAGGTGTCTAGAATTACGGTGTTAAGCTTCTCACTGGCACCAGAATCGCGAACTTGGTCTACACCGGTGAAATTGCTTTGCTGGGTGAGGATCTGCAAACCGTCCAAAACACCTTAAACCGCTTAGCGATTGAGATGACCAATGATGGCTTGTATTTCACTTCATTAAACTGTAAAGTGTTATTTCAGGATTAGCAGGGACCTGCGTCCGCGCTCACCATTGCTGGTGACATTCCGGCACAAGTGGATTGCTTCACTTATCTAGGGAGTCGCATCACGGATGGTAGCGGTGTAGGTGATGAGCTTTCATGGCGCATTGCAAATGCCTGCCTTGCTTTTTTTCAAACTGAGACATCTATGGCGTCGTCGTCACGTCAGTCGCAAGCTCAAGGTCAGGGGAGCAATGCTTTTGTCCATACGGTCGTGCTGTGCGGCTGAGGCCTAGCCTGCTCGCACCGAACACATGAGACGACTGTCAGATTTTAGCAACCATTGCCTGCGAAGGATTGCTGGTGTGTGGGGGCAACATCAAAGAAGTAATACGGAGGTTCGTGAACGAGTGCGTGGAGCGCACAGCCCTAGCCTTTAAAACGTTGTTCTTCGACACCGCATGCGTTTGCTCTGTAACGTACTGCGGATGCCAGCCTATTGTCTCCCCGGCGAGCGTTAGTTGCGCTTCCCGAAGGCGATTGGAAAAGCATCGCGGTGGACAACCAATGGCGTGGAAAAGGGGCGTGTAGGAAGCAGCCTCAGGCTTAGCTTCAGCCGAATCAGCGCGCCTTTCAGTTTGGGGACCACGTGACTCGGAATTCCTGTAGCTGCAATGGCTGGAGGTGGTGGCACGTAACAGATATCTGTGGCGCCACCGTTGTCATGCCGTTTTATCTGTTGGTTAATCTCAAAACAGCTTGTGTGAAACCCAGAGAAGAATTACCCTTTTTCTTATTTTCTTTCGTATGATTATTGTCTTCCCTTTTGCCATGGTTCTGATGGCACATTGTATACAGACTTGTGAATATATATATATATATATATATATATATAACCATTTTGTGGCCCGATCCTAGTTAACAATACAGTACTATACCTTCCGTGAAATTTCCTCACGCTCTTTGACTCCGTCAATGACTGGTCACCTTATTGTTTTACCAAAAAGAGACACCATTGACCAACGGTATGCTCGGAATGTACCTTGAGTTATTGTTCATTCGGTTTAGACCCCCGCAATGGATTCTGATCACATTTATCCTAACAGTGCCCACCCATATACCGTAGTATGCAAGCAAGAAAGAACTCCAAGGGTTGAGGAGGAACTTCTATTACACGACACAGGCACTATAAGGAGGAAATTAGGATAACATAAATAGGGTGCAAGAAACCTCACAGTTGACTGTTCTCCTCAGATTCTTGTCCTTCTTCCGGAACGGCACAGGAGTGGCGCTCTGAAATGCAAATGGGAAATGTGCCGTAAACGCAATGTTTCAAATTCAGCAGCGCACCACAACAGTTTTGATTCTTCGTCACAATAGGTTCCTCGCTAACTTACTTCTACATTAGCACTGCTATTTGCTTTTGCTCCCCTGGAAAGAGCGTGCGGGGCGTACTTGCTTAATAACCCCAAGTAAAGTAGGAAATCCAGCTTGGTATTTTGCTGAGGTAATACATGATTCAGAATCTCATGTAGCCCAACTTTGTAGACGGAATATTTCCTATCTGCATAAGGGGAACTTGCACACGAAACATAAATGTCTTTTAACCGGTTTGATCTAGTAACACGGTGTTGGCAGTTTATTCAGGTTTAAAACCAAATGCGATCCGCTTCTGGATGCGACCGCCGGCACCTCGAGACTTCTACCTGAAGTATAGCAGCATACCGGAGCCCAAATCATGTGCAGACATTACTTCTTTGAACACGAAAGATCCTGGTTTCCTCTTTACTCTTATATACCATCGTGAGGTAACAACTCCAATCGGACTTTAAATTATTTTCTGCTTAAGATGAGGTGCGCAACGGCACGTATCGCCAACTATTTCATCCCGAGCAAATTATTACGGGCAAAGAGGATGCCGCAAACAACTATGCCAGGGGTTACTTCAGTATCGGACGTGAAATTTGTGACCTTGTCCTGGACCGAATACGCAAAATTGCGGATAATTGTGATGGGATTCAGGGATTCTTCTTCTTCAACTCACTCGGTGGTGGTACCGGGTCCGGCTTGACCGCACTTATAATGGAGCGGCTAAGTGTGGATTACAGCAAGAAATCAAAGTTTCAATTCATCATCTATCCTTCACCGGTGATCTCTTCGGCAGTGGTTGAACCGTACAACGCCCTGCTTACCACGCATACGACGCTGGAACACACAGATTGTTCTTTCCTTGTGGACAACGAGGCGGTCTATTACATGTGCAGGTAGGCGGTGTTTGCGAGGTTACTACACCAAAGTACACCATACAACGTTAAATGAACGGTTGATACATTAGACAAATAATGACTTTATGCTGTTTTGAGCTTTCATAAATGATGTTATGAGACAGCGTGTTCGGAAATTTCATCATGGGAAATAAGTCTCCGCGCTCCTCTTTTTTGGGTCGGTGCATCAACTTTCAATACATCGCTTGTACTATTGAGCCTATGCTACACTTGACAACAAAATAGATGCAGTTAAAAATGTCAACTTATTACTAGTTGTCAGTCCACTTAACAAACAAAACTCAAGCTCATGTTCGTTCTCAGCAGCAAGGTAGATTCACCAGTTGACCGATTTGTCGGGCTTAATAAAATAGTTGTTTCGATTTGCGCCTGGTAATCTCCGTCCATTTTTATTCTCTGCAGAAATTCGTCGCGCTCTATGCAAGTGATCATCCTGAATTGTTGGTACACGGGCTCGACCTCAATGCGCGTTTTGATCGAATTGTTAGATGAAAAACATACTACTTGTTATTCTCTTCTATTTTGTGTCCCTAGTTAAGCTAGAATCTCCGTTTTGTTGCAACTGAAACCATGCTCCTCCTTATCCACATGCAGTGAGACAAGAGAAGATGCATAATGTTTTGCATATCCTCTATTGTTCATGTATCCTTACTGATAATTTTCTTCCTGTCCATCCCACATAATTCAGTTCACTATTTTTCTTATTTATTTTATACACGAGTTTGGTTCGTTGTTGTGCTTTACCGTTTTCTTTTGGGTTTGACAGTGTGATTTCAAAGTGGCGGTTGGTTTGCGAACAACCAAGATCTGGTGTTGTTTGAGGGATCTAGCCGTCATTTCCTGCATACGCGGCAAACCGACCCGCTTGCTTGACCTTCGCATCGGCCCGGTGTTTGTAGGTCTGTGGTTTAAGCATCGACGGATGAAACGGCCTGGGTGTCCATTGCGCTCAAGCGAATCGGATATGTGCTTCTCTTCATGTTTCACTTCTACAGTGCTGCAATCTTTTTTCAATTTGGTGAAATAGCTTCCGCACGCGGCTTATTTTGTGTCACTTTTAGTGATTTCTGTTGAAGCCCGAAATTTGGCTCTTGCGTGCACCTTTCCTATGAACGGATGTTAGGAATTCACAATCATCTGTTGTGGGCAATTATACGTCCAAGAATGGGAGCTTGTTTTCTGTCTCTTACTCCATTGTGACATCTCTGAAGTATAGAAGATGACGTTTTGCCGCGAAAGAGAATGGAAATATAGCACTAAGTGCAAAACGAAGATGACACGTTTAAAAGATACCTGCCCGTCGATAACGGATGGACGAGTAAGATATCTTTGTCGATGCTATCTCGCATAGTGGCGAAACGTATGCACACCTGTTGTCAAGCTATGCCAATCGATCAACGAGTGAGCAAGCAACCCGGTCTAACAGTGTTATTTAAATTATTTCAAATACTTACAGGCACCCAGCCCTCCGGTCTGCTCGCCGGTGGGAGGGTTTCGCTTGGCAACAGGCCTTTATACGGTAGTTTGAGAAGAGATGCTGTCACACGGAGTGTCAAATACAGGCCGACGTTAAATCATCCCCAAGCCAGGGCTGTTGCACGTTAGTTCGCAGAACGCACAGTACGAATAATGATCACCGACACTCACAATCATATCAAGTAATGTAATAAATGTCTAAATGAAGCACAAGCCACTTATTTGCAAACTGTGGGACAACGACTGACAGAACAACTACGTTTGACAATAGAAGGTTGAATAAATAACCCAGGAATGAAGAAGCAGGCCACGATTCATGGGATGATGTCAAAGTTGACCATCTAGCAATGCAGAAATGACAGCGATTCCTGGGATAGCAACCTTTCTAACCAACCACCAAGTGAGACAGAGCAAGAAATGCTCATCAAAGGATTGAAGTAAAATTTCAAAAACTCGACGGCCACAGAGTTTCTGGCCGGGATTCGAAAACGTTCTTCGATCAAATGGAGTTGATGAGGAGGTTCAGGAGCAAATCTTACGCACAATCCTCCCTGCCATGACACACATGTAGTACAATTCCCTATCTCGGCAAGAACAAGAAACGAGGAAGGCCCAGAGTGTCGACTGATTCAGTATTTATCCTTCCTACCGAAGAAGGACGTAGGATAGTCATAATGGATTATATTGCGAAAGAAAAGCGAATTATAAATGATACAACAACATACCGGCGCATTAAATGCGATCCGACAACGCAGCTAGCAAACTGAATAAACAGAACATTACATGAACTCCAGCGGCTGAGCGAAAGCACAGAAATAGAAAGATGTAAAATGAGAGCCAATGAATCAAACATCGTACAAATCTTCGGACTTCCAAAAGTGTACAAAGTGGGTGCTCTGATGCGACTACTTGTTTCACTTCCAGGCACATCTCCTACAACCAAGCAAAGCAACACTTCCGTAAACAATGCTATGCAATTTCTAGAGAAAGTCAAAAAAATGCAAATGCATCATGACGAAGCGCACTTGGCGAAAGAAATCATCATAGAACGCCTGAACAACAGGAGAGGAAATGGGGTGTAGGACAACCGCAAGCCAGGTTCTTCAACTATACCTCACGCATTATATTACTTTCAACAGAGAGATATAAGAGAAAGTGAATTAGGCACCTTTGGGATCCCAGTATCAGGAATGATGTCTGAGATCGTCTCGCAAAAGCTGGAAGATCTACTGCCAACCAGTGACCTAAAATTGTGAGTCCGCTATGTCTACAACAAATTTGTAATATGCAAACGCTGGTGGCAGAGCCCACTGGCATCAGTAATCGACTGATGGCTGTTCGCCTAAGACTCAGAAGTGGTAAGTTTGTCATTTTCGTCAGCACGTATGGTCCGACCATGTTATCCTGCTGACATGCGTGATTACGTCTACATTCAATTATCCTCCGGGCTGAGGAGCGACCGACCGTTTCTGCTGGGTGATCTGAACGCGCATGGCGGGCGTGATGCCGCGTTGTGGACAGACCTTATCGGTTCACCCGATATTGTCATAGCCAATAGGAACCACAGGCTGACTGCCTTCACTGTGTGCCAACAGCGACCTGACGATCACGAACACTCGGTTTGCAATGATGACGAGTGACATAGCAACATGAACGCACCCTTGGAGTGGTCACGCTCACCTGCTCCACTAAATCATCGTACGTCGGCGTGACATGAGTGAAGTGCGCATGACACGGGTACTGCGTGGAGGTGAGTGTGGCATTGACCACAAATGGGTGCGGAAAAGTACGTACTCTGTGTCTGCCGTGAACCGGTGTAAATTTAACATTTGCTCCCTCGTTACGGTGGAGAAACGTATTGAAGTGGATAATGTGATGGCGACACGCCTGTGTGATGTGGAATGTATCGTCACAGTGGGCGCCCTGGGCATTGCATTCGCCATCAGGTGACAGCTGCTGCCGAGGAGATCATGGGGCGCACAAACTGTGAGCGGCCCGATTGGTTGGATGGGAACAATGCGAAGATTGGCGCAATGGGGTCGGAGTAGACCGCAGAATTTACTACACATGTGGCAGACCTGAATGACATGGGAAGGAAGAGTCATTTTCGCAAAATTCGATTACAACTGACTTGAGAGCTCCGTCGCATTGAAAACGTATGGTGGACGGATAAGACGAAGCGGATGGAATACTACATCGAAAGAAGCCAGCATAAGGAATTTTTCAATTACTTGAAGGCATTGTATCGACCGAGGTTGAAGCCGCTGAGGACGCTGCTCGATGCTACTTCAGGCGCTGCCTACGCACAGATTGCAGACATAATGCAGATCCGGCAAATTCACATTGACTGTCTCTTGAACAACCGTTCGGAGATTGACTGGTCCACATTGAACGGCAAGGCTCAGTGCTGGGACCGCGTTTATTCCCAGTGTTTATCAACGACCGGGCAAGAGTCATCTCCTCAAACTTCCTGCTTTTCGCCGATGACGTAAAGATTTGGCCGGCGATTAGTAACAAGGCAGATCAGGATCTGCTCCAACATGACCTAGATTGCATTTACGAATGGTCAAAGAGGCACAAGCTTCAATTGAACATGGCTAAGTGCAAAGTGATGCATCTGCGTCACCAGCAGGTGAGCGCTTACAAGCTTGGAGACCACACCTTGGCGAAGGTTTCTCAGGAGCGTGACCTGGGTGTATTGGTACAGGAAGATCTCGGGTGTTCAAAACAAGCAGAGAAGGCGAGAAGAACCGGAAATCAACACTTCGGCCTTCTTCGCAGAGCCTTCGGTCGGTTTGAACCCTCAATATTTCCCCAAATGCTTAACGTCTACGTGCGACCTCACATGGAATATGCTATTCAGGCGTGGCAGCCGTGGCAGAAACAGGATCTCGTTGCTCTCGAGACTCCTCAACGACGGGCAACCAAGAACGTCAGGGGCCTCTTTCATCTGCCTTATCAGCTTAGACTGAAATCTCTAAGAATCTACAGTAGTCGATATCGGCTTTTGCGGGGGGATCTCATAATGGTTTACCAGATTCTGAAGAACCCAAACCACATCTGCCGTCCGCTGCTGGAATGGAACCAAAACACTAAACTAAGAGGTCACCCTCTGAAACTGACAATTCATTATAGCCGGCTTGAATGGCGTAGAAATTTCTTTTCTCTCCGCGTGTGTGAGCCTTGGAATGCCCTCCCTAATTATGTCGTCTCTGCTCCCAATCTGGCGATATTTAAAAAACGTATTGACGATGCATTGTCACACTTACATTTCATTTTATGACTTGTTAGCCAGGGGCTACAAAACGCAATCAAACGGTGTCTTGCCAAACGCCCAACCAATGGATTTATGGATTTATACGTTTGATATGCGAACATCTCCGCTATTCCACATAAGTCTATGGTGAGTCCACCACAACGCTTTTCACTTTATTACGCAATTGATTTTCGCAATAATTTCCATCCCACGGGACTTGTTAAGCGATGCTATTTTACCCGTAATA